ACATTCAGGTTGCCATGTTTATTAAGAGTGGCCTGAAATGATAAATCCGTTCTTTGCCTTTGTTAAGACCTGCAATACACAACACTTGAAATCTAGATATGGAAAAACATCTGCATAAGGCAGGCTTTCCCAAGGTAAGTATACCATCTCACATAACACAACCCCCATGTACATCTACCACATCTTCTATCATTGCCACAGTTTGATCATTAATGGGTCCTTCTACATTCCCCTTCCAGAAAAAAGGGAAAGAGTCAGCTAGAAGCCCTAGAGGAAAATCAGTCTGTTGACTTGTCATGCTTGCATGTACTACAGAAGGAAGAGTCTTAAAGCAGGGTTTTGAAGTTCGCAAAAATATTTCAAAACCTTTCACACTCTCATCTGAACCCAGCTCCATTTCAGTTTACACATACATTTACCTAATAAGAGCTATTTTCTAGCAACTTTTTTTAAAATCATAAAAAAATCTTTCAAAAGGCAGCAAACTAGAAATAGCATACTCTTTACATAATACTGAGATCAATAGTATTTAAAGTAGCTGGAAAGTATACTAACATGAGTAGTAGTTTTACAATGGCTTGTTTAAAATACCTGGAGGCTTTTACATATCCCAAAGGCATTTCTCATTTGCACAGTAAAGATAATTTTTTGTTTATATCTGAATATTAAATTGGGAATATAGTTACAGTTATCCAGCAAGAACTGCAAAGACTGCTGAAAAGTACAATATCATTGGTATATTACAGGAATCAGCAACACAGCCATAAAAAAGTACAAGCTATACTTTAACAATTTTAGGGCAGGAGAACTTCTATTTTGGGGCCATGAAAGCATTGAAAAATAACAAACAAATAACAGCAAGGTACTAGTAATTTCTCCCTATGCCCCCCAAATTAAATCTTTTATATTTTCCTGGTTCGTTTGGAAAAAGATACTCTAAGGAATTTTCTAATGTTATAAATACAAATGACCCTACTGTAAAGCTACTATTGCCCAATTCCTCCTAATATTTATCTTCTTTTCTTCATCACACACCTGTGGAGTAAGTTGTAAGGTTCTAAGAGAACATTCTGTCCTGCATCTTTTTATTCTCGCAACTGTAATCTTGTGAAAAAAGCCTAGCTATCTCTTCCATCAATTTAATGACTGAAATATACTAGACAATATTGTCTGATTCTTTATATAAATATATATGATCTAGGAGGGTACACATGCCTGTGTTTTCTTAGGTTCTGTCTGCTTCTGTTACTTATCTGGCTTATATGACCTCAGGCAGTCTCAAAGATTTGGCAGGGAATGGAAGTTTCTGGGTCATGGAATTTTTGGTGGAAAGAGCACATTGAAAAATGAAGTTATGCAAACACTAGTGGTATCTATGTCACAAGAAGAAATAAAAAAGGTTTAAATCCATCCCATTCTTTTGTTTCTATCTCAGAATCTCACAATAAGCCTGAGTAAGATAGAAAAAGTTCTGAACTTGAATATGACTGGGTCTCTGTTGTTCCTAATACAGATGAGACAGAAAAACAATCTGTAAGATTTAAATCTTTTTTATCAGATTTTAGTGTAAATTTTCAATTTCCAGCTCATCTGAAACTCTGTATAATATAGAAAAATGGGTTGCAAGCAGCACAGATCCTCCCAAGTGGCACGCTTCACAAATCATCTTGCTTGTAACAGTTATTTGATCATCCCATCTTTTAAACTCTTTAAATCCATGTATTTTTCCCAGATTAACAAAGCCAGAAAATCTATTGTCCCGTAATTTTCTGGACAGCAGCACTGGTAGATAGCAGATTCCCTTTAAAGGCAATCAATGTACTGGAACTAAGATAAACTGATACTAGCATAAAAAAACAGTATTATTTACTCCTATAAGGTAGGGAACAAGACAAAAACTTATCTGAAAGGATGAGTGTGTGAAGAAGTGCAGTCATGAAACTGAAGCTAGTAAGGAAATCACTATGGAGAGTAATAACTGGAAAAGTTAGGATAGAATTTATGGGGCTGTAATTTGGTTGTGCAGAAGTTTCACAGGTAAAGTTGGGCTAGAAACTATTTCCAAAAAGGCAATTAGACCATTCTCAGGCAAAAGAGTTGAAGCTACATCAATTAAAGAGAAAAATACACACTATTACTCCATCTGTCAAATCAAAGCAACCCAAAAGTTCAAAGTTGTGATTAATAAAACTCCTATATACTGAATGGGTTTCATCCACACCTATTCCAGGGTTCTAAGGAGTAATGATAACACCTAAAAAGATGCTGTGGAAGCAATTTCTTCTTTTTTAATTCCATAATTCAGAGAGGCATGGAGAAACTGTGATATACATGTATAGCCTTGAGTTCAAAAAGGTTCTAAAGCATTAGTGTAATTCTAAAGAGTAGAGGACATAAAAAAACTAGACAAGCACGTTATCAAAAGTATGTTGGCAGGGTTTCACATAGCAATCATCAGCTTCTAAACAGTGCAAAACACATACAAAAAATTTGAGCTTATTATTCTGCTTTTGTCCATCAAGGTGGTATATAAGAGCACCATATTCATTGTAACAATAAGGATAATACACAAAATTACCAAATTCTGTTCTAAATAAAGCATAAAATAATTTAAAGCAATGGACATCTATCATGCATAAAAATATTCCTAGACATGAAAAATAATAAACAAAGAAGAGAGACTTGTGTAGGCACACAGTTCAAGAACTCCAAATAATTGATTTGTTCACCATTATTTAAATGTACGCTTTCTAACAGCTCTATGCTTCAATTCATCCTAAAATCCTGATTATTTTTTATATACAACACATATAAAGAATGTTAATAAGCCTGAATACCTGCTTCTGCCTTCTTAAGCTTCAGGTAAAAGAATTACAATTTTCTGCATTGTTCAGCTATCTATAAAATGTGGCTAGGACAATAAAGTTTTTTAAATTTTTCAGTATAATTGTGCTTATATACATGCAATGCATGTTTACATATATTAAATGCTGTATTTATAGGTTTTAGGCAGTTCTCTCATTTTTTTTATGTTTTATGAAGGAAGATTAATTCTATCACCATGTCCTCATGAAAACATGACCAAATTTTATTAGCAAAGAAATCATTATGGTTTTCTATTTCAACATAAATGAAGAATGCTACAAATTTGTGCATCAGTCTTCATCTTATGTTAAAATTATTTCTCAAATCAAACCAGAAAACAATAGTAAGGATAGCATACTGTCTAAACAGCTAAGTTATTACTCTGTGCAGTTAGGTGTCCCAGTACATAGCCAGCAGTTACTTGATATCATCAGTGGCGATCGTATGTGAACCCCCAATAACAGTTCTCTTTAAAATAACCTGCATGTCCTTACACCATCACTGTCTTCCTCTGGACATGAATCCTTTAGAATATTACCTCTAGTTACATAATCACAACTGTATTTTTGGACAAAAATTTCATTCCAAAATTTAATTTTGGACAAAAATTTCATTTATGCAAGGTAGAACAGAGGACAAAACTATAAAAAACTATTGAGAGAGAAGAGATCTCATCAATACATATAAATATCTCAAAGGGGGGTATCAAGAGGATGGGGCCAGACTCTTTTCAGTGGTGCCTCAACATGAGGCAGAACTTCTTTATGCTGAGGGTATCAGAGCACTGGAACAGACTGCCCAGGCAGTTTGTAGGGTCTCCTCCTCTAGAGACACTCAAAACCCACCTGGACACATACCTGTATAATCTGCTCTAGGTGACTCTGCCTCAGCAGAGAGGCTGCTCTAGATGATCTCCCAAGGTCCCTTCTAACCCTAACAATACCATGATTCAGTGAAATGCACTCCTAGCTAAAGAAGTTAATACTGTATTTTCACAAGTGAAAGAACATGACAAAAGAAGTCCAGGAAGGAAAGATGTGAACAACAAAATGTGCCTTCTAAGATCAAAGCACTCAATGGAAACCCAAAGGAGCCAGGAACCCTCATGAATCTACAACAAGCTTCCCAAGTAAAATTGGCATGCCATTAAAAAAAGTTAAAATCCATTCTTTTTCTCTTTCTTAAAAAATCCCCTTATCCCCTTTTTCATTTTAAAAGAGGGAACTCTTCACACCCTAAGAAAATTGAGTGTTTCAATTCTGACAGCCAACTCATTCACATTCTCCTTATCTTTCACCCACATAATAATCTGAATTCATAAATATTAGTATTCCAAAACAAACAGTTTTGTTTGCATACCGTGATAATTAACTAACATTTACAGGAATCAGATGATAGTAAGCATGATGAAGAAATCATCACCATCACTATCCTCAGAGGAATAAGCTGCAGAAGTAAGATCCTGCTTGTCTGTATTAATGAAGATAGAAGCTTTTACAGTCAGCGACAAGTTCCTCCTCCAGAGGGTGGCTGGGCACTGGAACAGGTTCCCCAGGCAAGTGGTCACAGCACGAGCCTGAGAGAGTCCAAGAAGCATTCTGACAGTGCTCTCAGACACATGATGCAATTCTTGGTGCATCCTGTGCAGAGCAAGAAGTAGGACTCAAAGATTCCAACCTCTTCCAATGCAGCATGTTCTGTGATCGTATGACAGTTATCTCTTCTACTACCAAGTCTTAGCTTTTCACTTCCTCAAGAATTCAGATAAACATAATTTATATATAATTGTTACCCAACAGCTTATGACACTGGAAAATTACCAGTCATTTTCATCCTCTTGCTCTTTCAACAGGAAAAAAAATATGGCAAGACACTTATAATTTTAACATGGCATTGAACTGCAGCACAGCAGTTTCAGTGAGAACAGATTTTAAAGCAGGCTTCAACTTGCACCAAAAAAAAGAAAAACTCTGCAATGTATTCTAGGCACTCTTGATGAAATTGAACAATTAAACTTTTTCAATAAATTTTTAGAACTCTACATGGTTCTCAATTAGAAAGATAAAGACTATGGTATGAACAGGGGAGGTTGGTTGCTTTTTGGTTTTAGTAGCATGTTAAATCTTCAAACTCACCTTTCCACAACCAAGCTGACAGCTTGAGTAAGATCTGACTTTGACACCTCGAGATGTTTCCAAAGAAACTACACAAATTCTTTATCAGCCTTAGAAATAGGAAAAAAAAAAAAAAAGAAAAAACACATTACATGTATAATGCCTTTTACAGACAAAAAAGGTTATACTGAGCATATTCAAAAGACAATTGCCAAGAAAACCCTAATCTAGTGAGAATTTCCTGCAAGTTACTCACTGTTCCATGAAAAAACAGCCGATGGCTCTCTTGAATAAAGAAAGTTTTAACCATAGAGAATATTGAAGTAAAATAAACACCTACAATCAATATTAAAATAGTATGCAATGTAACATATGGCAACAGAAATGACATTATTCAAACAAGGCTCCCTTTTGCTATTATCTGTTACTGACACAATTTCTATTAAATACTAAGCCTAGAATACCTGCTTCAACATTAAGATTTACCACATGCAGCTCTTTATTTTAAAAAATGCAGTAAAACAGTCTTCTAACACGCAGGCATCTAACCTGCAGTATACAGAAGTTTCTGAAAGAAAACTCAAGTGAGCAAGGAAACACTGTTGTTTACAAACAGACTTCAGAAGTTTGTGAAAACTAGATGTCAGCTAAAAGCTTTCCCACATCTGTATTTTCTACTACACATAAGCTGCTATTTTTCACTGGTGTCTTGTTATTTCAATATGATTTTATTACTGGAAGCACCAATATCAGTTATTTTACAAGCTAAACCCATTTGTTGATGATATAAAAATATTAGGGGAGAACAATAAAGGCCAGCAAAAGAGGAAGGCCAGTAAGACAATATATGTATATAAACCATAGTCCAGACTAGGAGGAGACCTACTGAAACAGTTTAACATAAAATTAGGAATTGATAAGCTAAACCCATAGCATAATGGCAGCTAGGCCTATTCAGAAGGGAAAAATAATTAGAGTGCAGCTATGTCTACTAGTGTTTTGGAAACAGAGAATCATTTAGACTGGAAAAGACATTTATGGTCAAGGCATCCAACCAGTAACCTAACATTGCTACAACCACCACAAATCCCTACATGCCACATCTACAGCTTTTAAATACTGCCAGGGATGGCAACACCACCACCTCCCTGAATAGCCTGTTTCAGTGCCTGACAAGAAATTCTTTCTAATGTCAAATCTAAATGTTAAAAACCAAATTGACAAAAAGATCTTGTAATTCAAGACCATTATCAGCTTATGCAAAATGCACTACACCAGAAAGAGTTAATCTTTCTTAAAAGCAGAAAAATTTCAACTGTCTTCCACAGGTTGTGCACAGCCTTTAAAATGCTAACTGTGTTTCTTGCATTTTCAAACAAAATCAAACAATTACTAAAAAAATTTGTGCAAAAAGAGAAAGAGGAACAAGATGTTTCTAAAATGCTTGAAAAAACCACAATCCTTCTCTAATCAAATTAGGTTACTAATGTAAGCATTCTTTTCAAAACTGAAAGTGACCATTCCACATACAAACAGTTAACTAACTGCATTAAGGAGCACTTCATTCATTTTTATAGAAAGGTAACACAAAAGCTGAACTGCACACCAGATAATTAGTAACTCAAATGACTTTGCATCAGTATCCAAGTCTTTGTTCAGTACAAGTGCTAAAAATAGGTTAACTTTCAGCTCAGAATCAAGTTAAAAGATAAACACTAAGAACCATATTAATTGGGTTACTAAGTAAAAAAATAAAGCACAGCCCCTAATTTCATGCTGTCACCTTACACATTTAGTAAACTGAACTTCTATGTATCAGTGGGAAAGACTACAAAAAGAGTGCACTTGTTTCATGTCCTCAGAATAAAAGACAAAAATGCCTTGCCAGGCCACCTGAAGAGTTACAATGTGCGCAGACTGTGAACCAGGCATGACCTACTGCTTCTTCTCAGGCAGAAACAGAATTAAAAATAAAAATGTTTTTCAGATTTGGACAATTGCAACAGGCTTCCAAAAAGCATTAGGATCCACACAGAAGCTGGATTCAGAGTAATTTTAACATCTAAAAAAATTTTGCGCTTATGTTGATAAGTCAGGGGGAAGGCAAACAAACAAAACAAACACACAAAAAACAAGCCACAAAGCCAGACTAAATCTCTCTAAACAACCATAAATAAAATAAGATTTTGTTTTAATTATTTCAAAGGACATTAAATCAGTGATCCTTCCAGCCTAAATGACACTATCACAGAATCAATTAGGCTGGAAGCAACCTCTGAGATCAAGTCCAGCCTATGACCAAACACTGCGTCAGGTGCTCCATGGCACTAAATGCCACATCCAGTCTTTCCCTAAACACCCCCAGGGACAGTGACTTCACCACCTCCTTGGGCAGCCCATTCCAATGCCCAGTTACTCTTTCTGTGAAGAAATTCTTCCTAATGTCCAACCTACACCTCTCCTGGAACAGCTTAAGCCTGTGTCATCTTGTCCTGCCACTGGCTGCCCACGAGAAGAAACTGACCCCCACCCGGCTACAGCCTCCTTTCAGGCAGTCATAGAGAGTGATGAGAAAAGGACCCCTCAGTCTCCTTTTCTCCGAGCTAAACAACCTCAGCCACTCCTCACAGGACTTGCATTCTAGACCCTTCACCAGCCTTGCTGCCTTTCATCATAAGGAAATCTTTGAATCATAATAACAGGAATAAACCAATGTATCTACTCCAATTTTAGAATAATTTTAATTCAAACTTCTCAACTGATCAGAAATATGGAGAGCAGAAATTACATAATAGTGTTTGAGCATTTTTATATACTTAATACAGAATCCACTGTGTACTGCATACGAAACTACCATAAATCACTAAGGAATCAGTCTAAAGGCCACAAAATCATTACAGCAGAGAAGACCCAATAGAACAAAACGCTAATACTATTCTACCTGAAAACACTCAGAAATCTGAGTGTTTTCAGGTAGAATAGCAAACAATCAAAAGTTTCTTATGCTGATTGATGACTTCATGAGCTATGTTTAGTTAATTTTGTTTACCTATTTAAAGTCTTGGATCTGCTAATGAGCATGCTTCCTTAACTTTCCCCTTTACTGCCCTGAACACAAACCACAGAGGTAGCTGTTGGGTTTTCTGTTTATTTTTGTATATATTAGAAGAGCTGAGACCCTTGGGCTTCCATATGAATCTAAGAAGCACCATCAAACACCATGAGACTCCCTACAAGCAGGGGTGTCTGCTTTTTGTCCTACCACGCAGATATATATTTCTGGTCCCAGCTGGGAAACAGTTTAAGGCAATCCAAGAACATGGAAAAGCGCAGAACTTTCAGATTAATACTTCTGAGCACAGCTTTCCACAATTACAGAATAAAAGCAAAAAAAAATGGAAAACCACAGCAACAAGTATTGAATTGTTCCTAATGAACAAATATGTACTATATATATGTACAACGAGAGGGAAGTCTTCACATTCCTCCCACAGTTTTTGCTCAGTATACAGCATGTACGGAGCCTCTGACAACTGAATTTCCACATAAACTTTGCGGTATCTCCCTTTGGTAATATAAATACAAAATAGGAAATTTCAACAAACATTTCTAATGAGAACACAAACACTCAGGTATAAACTATCTCTTTTAACTAAACAAGCAGTTTGATTTAACCTGTAACTATGCCACAAACAGGCTACTTCAAGTTGTCCAAAGAAGAGTAAAATCAGCCACAAATTTGTAGTCACGTCAGTGAAATTGCTACTCCTTACATAACTCTTCCCTCTGTGCTAAAAGAACAGTAGATGAAACAACATGTAAAAAACTCATTATAATTGTAAAATAAATCTTCTTTGCAATAAGGAATACTGAATGACCACTAAACAAACTTCAAAGAAACAGCTACACAGAACAGGCTAAAAGGTGTCCATTAAAAGATAAACAAATAACAACAAATGCAACCACAAAACACAAACCAAAGCCTTCACAAATCCTATGGAAGTAAGTGAAAAGTCATTGGAATTTCCAAAACTGCAAAACAATAATATTTCAATACATGTTGTTTATTTTCAATGATGACAAACTGATAGTTAAAGTTACTACTGCAATTTATGAATGAGCCCACACAGAACTATAAAGAAATGCTGCAATTATATCAACAGGTATGTGAAATTAAATCATCATTTGCCTTTCACTATGCACCCAATATGTACTTTAACTTCTCTAAATGCATGTAAAACTAAGCAATGTCCTGCCTAAGTGTACTTCTGCCAAAAAAATAAGGATGTAAACGCATCTTCAAATGGTACCAGTAAAGAAAAAACCCAATCAAACAAAAAAACCACAACTTCATCCAAAGTTAAAAATATGATAACGTTATTTCACAAAAGGAAAGTTTACACAGAAATGTACAAAATTTATCATTAAGACAACAAAGTATTACAAAGAAATTAGTCAAAGAATGTTGAGTTACCATATGTGGACTTCTTCTCTTTAACATGCCAAACATTTTAATGGCTATTTCATTTAAATCTCAGTAATATGATTAATTAAGCATTTTGCATAATGGAATAAGTATGAGTTAGAAATTGTTAAGGTTTAAGATGAAAAGAAGTTTAAACAGCCTTTTTAAGCTCTTGGCAGAATTCATGGACCTGGTAAAGCTTTTCCCTGCATGGCCCTGGGAGCCAAACAATTTCTATGGAAAAAAGACTGCTTACTTACACTGTTTGAAGCTGGCACAGAAAAACACTGCAGCTGTCAAGGCCTGGGATGTATCAATCTTCAGTTTACCCAAAGAACATTCAGCCTACTCAAGTGCACGTTAACAACTCAAGAGGTCAGCAAGAGTGTACCTCGGATAGCTGAGATTTTATATAAAGGCAGAATACAGATGCCATTTGAAAGCTAGCAAAAATTACTCATTACTTAGAACATATCTAATGTCAGATAAAGATGCTCACCCTGCCATCAAGTTTGCATGCAAGAACAAAAATACTCTGAAAAAAGAAAAGAGCACATTGTGTGTCCCCTGAAAAGTGACACTTTTGCCCTCAGCCTACAGTTAAAGTGATTGTAGTTCATCATACTGAAAGACAAAAAGAATGCAGGCTACCTTAGGCTTTAAATGTGTTCTTTGCCAAGTAAACTGGATTTTTTCTTACTAACTTTTAACAGGAGCAAGCTCAGAAACACTGACAAAAGATAAGCCACTAACAGACATTACAAGGCATAACTAGCTACAGCACGAGTATTTGCTTTCAAGTGAAGCCGGAAATTTATAAAGCATCAGCAGAAATCAAAACTTTGACTTACAAGCAGGAAAAAAAAATATCCTTATTCAAAACATTTTATCTTCCTTTTGGAAGTGAATTCCAAGCATAACTATTTCACTGGCTATTTGGTATCATAAATACCTAAAACTGTATCAATATTGCAGTTATTTGTCTAATGGAAACTTGGAACCATAGACTCTTTTGAATATTTTTATACAGCTTTATCAAGGAGAATTAGATGGCATCTTTTTTTTAAAGTAATTATACTGAATTTACTAAAGCAAAACTTTCAAATTAGCAGTGAAACAAGTATCAAAAGCATAAGCAGTATCTTTTTCTTTTTTTTTTAATCTCACAGAAACTATAAACTTATAACAGTTGGGGCTTTACATTTACAAATAAGTTTAGTTCTCTGTTTAGATGTATGTCATGCACTATGTTGAGAACAAGGATAAACTGAAAAACTTCCCCCCTTTAACATAAATTCATACATCAAGCATCTCAGTTACCTGCAACTTGAAATCAGTACTCTTTTTGATGTTTCACTGTATTTATTTCTAAGCATGTTAATTACTGTTTAGGGGTTCCTATCATAACTTAAATCTTTACAGCATTACAAATTATTATTCACTTATTATTATTAATCTTCTAAAATCTGAAAGACTATACCCTCAGAGCAGAAAAACAAAACATAAACCCCAACCTCTTTACACTCAGTCCAAACAGCCTCTTCCGTACCCCCACCTCTCCAATCATCACTACAAAAACACAAGACACAAACCCTCATTTTAGTTCTTTAATCAGTCCATATTCCCAAGCGGGAAAATAAAGCAGCTGGGAGGACAGAGGGAGCTACTGGTTTACTGTAAATTTTTAATAATAACTCTATAACAATTACAGACCAATAATTTTCTGTGTTATGAATTGAGTATTTCAAAACACGATTGTCAGGCTGGAAAAATTTGTATGGAAATCAAAATACTACATGGTATGGGGCGTGAGGGGGGAAAGCATGAAATAACCTGGCTGGCTGGTATAACCACTGAAAAACCTGCAAGAAAATTTTGTTTATGGATTGTTCTGGGCTCCCTGAACATCTAGGATAGACTAGTACATTTCCAACTGAACAACTCAAGTCTTTTAACAATCAAGCTGATATATACACTTCACATGCAAGTGACAAGACTTGTTTCTCTCTTGGTGTCTTGCAAGATTTTTAAACTTACACTGCTGCATACTGTCACATCAGACTCTCTTGGCACAGGGCGCCAGTGTTTCTTTGTGCTTTCCAGTTTTCCATATTACATTCCTAAATAAGAGGTATTCTCTTTAGAACCATGAACTGCTGAGTAGTCACAACAAAAATACTCTTGTTCTTTAGAAAATCCATCTGTGAGGTGTTGCACTTTTCAACAACCTAAAAGTCACCAGAAGACTGATCAGTAAATCAGAAGAAAACTTAGAACCTTAGACACAACAGGCTCTTAAAATAATAGTGCATTATTTTCAAGTTCACAGAAGTCACTCACAGACAGTATGCACTGTTAACATCTACTTATTAGGTAGAAATTTGTAAGAGGGCTGTAGGTGACTTGACCAGACTGACTGCTTTTTAACAGACATCGTCAGTAAACAAGAGTAATTTCCCCCATCCCCTCAATTCCTTAATGTTGCAGTATGAGACACAATCAATGTGTAAATGCATTATATTAAAAAAGTTTGATGTATATTTCACACATACTTTTCTATTCAAAGAAATTACTGTTATATAGTCTCTGTTGGCAGTTCTTGCAACAAACATACGTTTGATTCAAAAAGGGACAAGCACTAGTATAATGCTTTTCTTAACACTTGTGGGTAAATACACACCCACACACAGCCTCAAACACACACTCTCCCTTAGAAACTGAATCCTTACTCACTACTTTGCTGAATGCAAACAAGCACAATAAAAATAATATAGTGTCATTGTTACAATGTTGATGCCTTAACAGTGCTCTAAGCAAAAATACCACCCAACTTATACTAAAGATACTGTCCTTACACATGATTTAATCAGCATACTCTCAGATTAGTTCATCAGCATAACCAAAATACAGCAATGAACTTAACTGAGTAATTTCGTAATATAGTTTAATTGGCATAAATCACTGACTTATTGTGGCAACAACTGGCAAGAAATACAAGGTACTCCTTGGTCGTGGCATAGTAAAAAAATGAAGTGAAGGCAGAGCAGTACCATCACAGGAGGAAGGAACAAAAATAAACATCAATTCACTTGTAGACAGAACTTACCAGATAGACATGGACCTATCACACACAATGTCACCCTCACAGAATAGCAACAAGTTAATTACTTTCTTCTTCAGTGAGCACACAGGATGCTCTGTTTCCATTCATTCACTAGAACAGTCTTCTACCAGCACTTGCTTTTTTCTGAATACTCAATATTGGAGATGCAGTGCTTGATAAATGTAGGAAATCCTTTCAGATGGGAGAACATGTGAGAAATCAAAAGCTTTCTTTTAATCCCTTTTTACATCAAGGACAGGATAAGTGATGTGCCAGCTTTCATTTCAAGCTGTAACTTTCAAAACTACTTCAATTAAAACTAACTGCATTCATAGATGTAATTTACACAGAAGATGCACCGAATTGGGTAGGACATGAATTTTCCAAGTCACATAACTGCTTTCTGCAAGCACCACAATTCAGAGTTATTGTTACAATTCTATCACTTACTTGAGAGTACAGGATCATTTAAAAGCTTCAGCACAGCTCTCAGAGTTAGTTTTGTTTAAATGTAATGCTCTGGATTAATAAAATCATAATGCATTTCTGATTTTTAATCCATTTAAGAATACAGGAATGCATAAATAATTTTATTTTACAGACAATATAACCACACGCATGCATTTAGGTATATTTCCTCTGTATTATCACGACTAACCAAGTGCAATTTGGGTCCATTATTTCAACTGCACCTGAAATGGCATTGTAGTACTTTCCAAATCCTGTGGACAAAAATTGTGACAAATATGAGAATACTTGCATACCTTTTAAACTGGAAGCTAAACTTCAAATAGTTGAAATAGTGCGCTCCCCATAACAGCAAAGGACAAGAACACTATCTGAAGTCATTCTTCAAGAACAGTGTACCTCCTTCCCAAATCAAAACAGTTAAATGGGAAAACTAGACCAGCTGCACCCAGTCATTCTCCTCCATGTTGAATCTGTAACAACATGACAAACATAAACATCAAAGTGTGTTCTAGAGTTCTGGAGACCTCCTCACTGCATTTGGAAAAATTAAAAGACCCTAATCTCTGCATATAAAATGCAACTTCCTTTATTGACAAAAGCAGTGGTTTGTTGTTCACATAACAGGTATTTCTTGCATTCATGTCTATCTTACAGCAGCCAGACAAAGTCCCTCGAGACTGGAGGAAAGGGAATTTCATGTCCTTTTTAAAAAAGAGTAAAAAGGATCATGGGAACCACCAATCTGCAAGCATTACCATATTGCCCAGTAAAACCATGAAACAGGTCCTTCTGGACCTGTCGTAGGTTAAACTTTAGGATGTAACCAAAAGTATGAATTTTGCTACATCTTCATAAGCTGTTATAACAGATGTGGCAGTGCTCCTTATCTCCTCTATGACTCATCCCTGATAACTCCCTCCATGTGCTATCTCTGCAAATGGGCCATCAGGCCTCATTGCATGACTCAAAAATAACATCATCCCATTGTGAGATGCTCCATCCAGGGGAATGAACCAAGCATTCCTACCTGGATATAATATGAGGTTTGGAACACCATGGGAAGCCCTACATACTGTATTCCCAGAGGACAAGAGCTACATAACCATCACTGGACCTTTAGAGAAAGACTACAGGACTTCTATTTCCCTTCTACAGGGATCACCATTTCAACAGAACCACATCCACCATCTAATTGGACTGCTACCACCACCCTGACTAACACAGTGTCAGTGTCCGGAATCTGATACCATTTCTGTACAATTACTCGTATTTTAATTTTTCTATTAAACTGTAGTTCTGACTTGGAATGTCTCACCAGCTTGCTTTCAAACCAGTACACTATGACAAGCATGGGTGACAAGAGGGTACTTAGATATAGGCAACATACTTCACCAAGGGCAAACCATGCCTCTGATTACATCAGTGGATAAATGAAGGGCTATGGATGCCACCTACCTCCATTTCTACAAAGATTTTGATACAGTCCCCTACAACATTCTTGCCATTTATTTGAAGAACTAATGGTTTGATGGATGCACTATTAGATGAGTAAGAGTCTAGGTCCCTTTCCAGAGGGTTACAGTTAACTGCTCTGTGTCCACACGGAAACCAATCATAAGTGGTGTTCCTACAGGGTTTATACTGAAACCAGTACTGTTTAACATCTTCCTAATTACATCTTCATGATATAAACAGTACCAAGCTGAGCAATGGAGTTTCTACACCAGTAGGAGAGGATGCCATCCAGAGGGAATGACAATGACAGGCTTGAAAATCTCAAATACGAAACAAGGCAAAGTGAAAGGTCTTGCACCTAGGTTTGGTAAAGCCCATTATCAATACAGACTGTGGGATAAATTGGTTGAGGGGAAATGACTAGCATGAACTGCTGGACAAAATGCTGAACATGAGCCAGCAGCATGCACCTACACACCAGAAAGCCAACTGTATCCTGGGCCCATGCCAGGTAACAGGAGACAATTCTCCCTCTCTTGTCTGCTGTTGTGAGACCCTACCTGGAATACTGTGTCCAGCTCTGTGGAGCCCAGCATCAGAAAGACATGGCCATATCAACAGGTCCATAGCAGGGCCAAAAAACGGATCAGAGGCATTTTCACACCCTTCCTGTAAAAAAAGGATGAAATAGTTTGGTTTGTGTTGCTTGGAAAATACATACAAGGGTCCTGATTCCCACCTTTCAATACCTAAGAAAGCACTTGTAAGAAAGACAGATTTTACCAATGTCTCAAGCGACAGAAAAAGGTTTAACAATCTTAAAACATATTCTTTTCAATTTAAAAATATTTAAATTTGGATTAAGCATAGATTCAGACTGAACATAAGGGAAGTGGACAACAAGGGGGTGTGGCAATGGAGGAAGACTGCAGGTCCCCCATCACTGAAGTGTTCAAAGACTTGTTGGGTAGGGTTTTAAGCAACATGACCTACTGAAAAACATCCTTGGCTAGGGAGGTGGGACTAGATGATCTTTAAAGGTCCTTCTAATCCAAGCCACTCTATGACTCTTAAATCTCTACATCAAATTTTAAATTCCCACTGACATGCTGGGCCAATCTGAAACACTCACACACAGACATACTGTGAATAAGAAATGACTTTGTGAAGTGCAAAAATATACTTTTTTGTTTTTAAATCTCATTTTTAGTTAGTCTTCAGTTTTACTTCTATATTGTAATCCAGTATTTTCCAAAAGGAATACCAGATATGAAAAAACTTCACTACACCTAACTAAAATTTGCAAGAAGTAAAATAAAGTAGAAGAAAATAAACTTAGGTATTCAACAACACTACTTCCATATATAATACAAAAAGAGTAAGGCCTTTACTAACAACACTTGTACTAATCAGACTTGTGTGATTTACACTCCTTATGGCAAAATATAAGAGTATAAAATAACAAAAAAACCACCCAAAGCACTAAACAGCTGGCATCCCTTCGCGCCAATAAATATGTGGTCTTGACTTAATCACTA